ACCCCCCCCCACCCCACCACCACACACACACACACAAGAAAAAACGTAGCTACCTTGTGTCGTTTTGGCGGTGTGTAATGAGTAACTAATATTGTGAAAGTGTGTAAAATTCCTTTTCCTGCAAGCATAGAAGAAAAGTAGACTATAAATATAGAAAAAAGAGAAAAAGGTCATACTTACCCCTGTTCTTCTTGAAAAGGTTCACATTTACCCTCCTTTTACAGTTTGACTCGCTAGTGTCCTTGCTGTTAATCTTTTGGGTTACAAATATCCTTACTCACTAACAGGGTTATCACTAATTAGTCCCAAAAATTTCTTATTAGCACCTGAGTTGGCCACGTGGCCTTTTTTGAATTTTGTTTGGTTAATTACATTTATCAAGTTCTACCATGGGTTGTTGGCACGGAACTTAGAAATGCAGTGTAATTTCACTGGTTCTATTTGCGCTGTGTTTCAGCACTGCGTATCGCCCTCCTTTATTTGACGACACTCTTTCATTTCAGAGTGAGAATTCAGCTTTGTGGCATCATGGACTTGGTTCAAGAACAATTTCAGCTGTTCCTGCCAACACGTACTATGGCTTTCAGGGGCAAAATCAGCAAACGGCTGGTGGATTTAGGCAAGGTCAGCAGCCGTCACAGAGCTATGGATCTTTGGGGGGTTACCCACATTTCTACAATTCTCAGGCTGGTATCTCATTGGATCAACAGCAGCAACAAAACCTTCGGGATGCAGCATCGTTGGCTGGTTCTCAAGGTCAGCCGAAGCAGTCTCAACAACAAATATGGCAAAACGGCTACTAATCTTACTGCCTCCTTGTATTTTCGGGGTCTTGTAATGAGTGTTGAAAGTGGCCTTTCGAGCAATTTCTGTGGAAATAACCATCGTTCATGATCCCCGAAGAGACTTGACCGGCTGCTGCCCTGTGCTACGAGGCTTTACTTTACGTGTTTATCCTCAGAGTTAAATGTAATGTAGGAATGTCTGAGCTAACACAGTACTAGTTGGCGCGTTTGTGTTCTCTTAACTCTTTGTTACACAGTTAACCCCCTTTCGCTGTTTTCTCATCTATAGTTAGTTGTGTTCTGTTTCCCACTAGTAATCTATTACCATCTGCTTTCTGCTTTACTGTCCGGTGAATTTTTGCGCATAAATGGGATGAAATATTGGGAAGGTTAATGTGGTTGTACTGATCTTTATATTGTACAGTCAAACCTCTCTATAACATCTCTATATAACAATCATTCACTGTAAAAATTAAGTTTTTCTCCAAACTGATTTTTATGTTATGTCATAATATGCATCCTCTATAATAACACTTTACTATAGAAGCCAAAATAAAATATGAGATTGCAAGGTCCAAAATATAGATGATTAGTCCTCTAATAAAAATGGTAATTAATTTGCTATCACCTGATAAAATTCACTGACAGAGCAAAAACTCTTTGTCACGAATATCTAAAAATACATTGTTTGGACAGCATTATCCTAAGAATTTTTTTTAAATGAACTCTAGGGAATAACCATAAGTATTGAACAACAAAGAACTGTTCTCTGGACATTATTTGGTTCTGTATTTTCACTACCATTTTAAACCGTTAAGCACTTTGAAATCCTAAAGAAGTAGAACATTAAAGATTGGAAGTGCAAGAAAGAAGATGAAAAGATTCACATGCTCGTCATTAATTAATCCAAACCAATTTACACCACATTAATGAACCCATAACCCAGAATGCTAAAAATAAACTCTGACCCTTGTTTGGGTTCATCACTCACAAGCTACATATTCAGTCTCACACTACTTAAAGATTAGAGATCAACTTTTGTTAACTCACTTTCCGGGGACAAAGTTTGTGGCGTAGGCCCAGGCGTTGTTGTTAACCGGGTCTGCAAGATGATCGGCAAGGTTTTCCAATGGACCCTTTCCAGTAACGATAGCCTGAACAAAGAATCCAAACATGGAGAACATAGCAAGTCTGCCATTCTTGATCTCCTTTACCTTGAGCTCAGCAAAAGCCTCTGGGTCTTCAGCAAGACCCAATGGGTCGAAGCTACCACCAGGGTAAAGTGGGTCAACAACCTCACCGAGAGGTCCACCAGCAACACGGTAACCCTCAACTGCTCCCATCAACACAACTTGGCAAGCCCAAATGGCCAAGATGCTTTGTGCGTGTACCAAACTTGGGTTACCCAAGTAGTCAAGACCACCCTCGCTGAAAATTTGAGATCCAGCCTTGAACCATACAGCTTCACCGAACTTGACACCGTTACGTGCCAAGAGTTCGGGGAAGACACAGCCAAGAGCTCCAAGCATTGCCCATCTGCAGTGGATCACCTCCAACTCACGGTTCTTGGCAAAAGTCTCTGGATCAGCTGAAAGTCCAGCAGTGTCCCATCCATAGTCACCAGGGAACTCACCAGTCAAGTAGCTTGGAGATTCACCGGAGAATGGGCCCAAGTACTTGACACGGTCAGGACCATACCATGGGCTGCCAGAAGAGACAGGCTTGGCCTTGGTAGCAGTCTTCCTCATGGTAACTTTCCCATTTCCGGTGATTTCAGAGGAAGATGGTGAGAGTTTCACTGCCTTTCCGGCAAAAGAAGAGGAGGAGAGAGCCATTGTAGAAGCAGCCATGGTTTAATAATTAAGGAGAAGAAATGAGATGTTGTGTAGTATGGTTACTTGGGCTTTACTATATATTGGGAGGAAGGGAAAGAGTTCTTATCTTATGATATCTCTATCTACAATTTCATTGGATTTCAAGATTCCACTAGCATTACTTCTTGTCCACTTGGCATGTTGTATTCCATCAATCTTTCCAAGATTTTTACTTGTGGCTTTAAATTGCAAACTGTCCTATAAGCTGGTCTGGTAAATCTTACAGTTTTTCTTCTATGGGTCTGTTTGATGTTGCCATGCATGTATCACTTTGAAGTCTGCAAAATAAAAAAGAGATAATACATAAATTACCACATCAAACTTGTCCGGAAAAATCATTTACACACCTTAACTTTACTGGCGACCTATGTCCCCCCTATTCTTGTTTGGGGTGAATTTAAGACTTTCATCCTAAATGGTGACGTGGCAAAGAGAGTAGCTTCACTCTCCCAATCTCGCGTGTAAGAGGGAAAAATTTTTACTGTGTGGGTCCCTTTTCCGTTTACTTCTTTTTTTCTATTTTTTTCCNCTTTTTGTTTTCTCTCTCCACCTTTTCTCTTCCNCCACCTTTTCTTCTTCCTCTCACAATTGCAAAAATCATTTTTTTTAACAAAATATTTTTTTGTAAAAACATATTTGTAAAAACCGATTTTTTTTTTTTTGTAAAAACAGAATTTTTATTCAGTTTTTAATAAAATATTTTGTTTTTTAAAAACTGAAAAAAATATTTCCAACAAATTATTTTCGCTTTTGAAAAAAGTTTTTTTTCTTCATTTTTTCAGTTTTTTAAAGATTTTTTTTTGCAAAAAATGGAAAAACAAACTTGTAAAAACTAATTTATTTTTTGTAAAAACACAGTAAAAAATCGTTTTTTAACAAAATATCTTTGTTTTTTAAAAACTGAAAAAATTATTTTCAACAAAATATTCCGATCTTTTTTGAAAAATATTATTTTTATTTTTTCATTTTTTTAAAAGAATTTTATTTTGTAAAAACTGGAAAAACAAATTTGTAAAAACTATTTTTTTTTTTGTAAAAACAGAAAAAAATCATTTTTGAGCAGATATTGACACGTGGCGCGCGTGTACTACACACCCCACCACAAGACTGACTAAGTGTTACCAATGGGGTATTAAATTCACCCCAAACAAGAATAGGGGGGGACATAGGTCGCCAGTAAAGTTAAGGTGTGTAAATAATTTTTCCGGACAAGTTTGATGGGTAATTTATGTATTATCTCAAATAAAAAACTGAAACTTATACAATTTCTGAATTTAATCTCTACACAAAGTACACATACTTTAAGTCTATAAAGCCACAACTAAAATAAGACATGAATTTCTCAATGAGGTTTTAATTTGTGGAGGGCAGCCAGGTGTACTAAGCTCCCACTATGCGCGAGGTTCGGGGAAGGGCCGGATTACATGAGCCTATTGTACGCAGCTTTAATTTACCCTAGCATTTTTGTAAGAGGCTATTTCCACTGCTCCAACCATTAATTTTTACATTAATTGTGGTCCAAAATTTAGATGGCAAGGATTTATTTAGTACCAAGATTTAACGGAGAATAAAAGTAATCTATCGAATAGTTTAAGAGTAATTTTGACACTTTTTTGTTAGTTAAATGCATCACCACCAAGAGCCTATACATATGTATATTCATTCAAATTCAGACAATTTATTGATGTAGCCTATAGGTGATTATAACCTCCTCACCACCACCGCACTATGTAGATCATCCCCCCCCCACCCCCACCCACCCCACCCCCACACACACCAAAAAAAAAAAGAAAAAAACAATTTCTACTTCATTTCAAATGCAAAAAAATTTCATTTGAACCACCAACAAATTATGATGGAATGATAAGTACGCCTTCATCCCAATAAGAAGTCCGGAAACACTACGTATAGAGTCGCTTTACCCCTAAAATGAGATTTTTCAGTACGGATTAGTCGGACCACAAAACAAATATCGAATACCGAGTGAAAAATAAAAAAAGACGTTCAATTGAAGCATCAAAAGTTTTTCTTGTCTCATTGTCAATTTGCCACTCATACAAGTGGTCCAAATGTGCAGAAGTGTGTGAACAATGCATTATTATATTGCAATAATCTATAATCAGACGTGGGAACTCCACATTGGCTGCAGAGAGGAAATCTGTATTGGGTTAGATTTTTTAAACATAATGTATCTAAAATATAGTCATTGCCAAATGGACAACAATGCAAAAGGTTACAAATTGTATCCACCAATCAAAAAGCAGATACTGATATTCATGGATAAGTATTCTGGACAATTTTGAGTCATTTATATACAGATGGTGCAAGCCAATTAAACTCATCAAGCCACAAATCAAATATTCTTTCTTTGTAGTAGCTGCATTCAAGAGTTTTCCATTTTATTTCTACAATGGCTGCTGCTACAATGGCTCTTTCTTCCCCTTCTTTTGCCGGAAAGGCGGTGAAACTCTCACCGTCTTCCTCTGAAATTACTGGAAATGGGAAAGTTACCATGAGAAAGACCGTTACCAAGGCCAAGCCAGTCTCTTCTGGTAGCCCATGGTATGGTCCTGACCGTGTCAAGTACTTGGGTCCATTCTCTGGAGAGTCCCCAAGCTACTTGACTGGTGAGTTCCCTGGTGACTATGGGTGGGACACTGCTGGACTTTCAGCTGATCCAGAAACATTTGCCAAGAACCGTGAATTGGAGGTGATCCATTGCAGATGGGCCATGCTTGGAGCTCTTGGTTGTGTCTTCCCCGAGCTTTTGGCCCGTAACGGTGTCAAGTTCGGCGAAGCTGTATGGTTCAAGGCTGGATCACAAATTTTCAGCGAGGGTGGACTTGACTACTTGGGCAACCCAAGTTTGGTCCATGCACAAAGCATCTTGGCCATCTGGGCTTGCCAAGTTGTGTTGATGGGAGCCGTTGAGGGTTACCGTGTTGCTGGTGGGCCTCTTGGTGAGGTTGTTGACCCACTTTACCCCGGTGGCAGCTTCGATCCATTAGGCCTTGCTGATGATCCAGAGGCTTTTGCTGAGCTCAAGGTAAAGGAGATCAAGAATGGCAGACTTGCCATGTTCTCCATGTTTGGATTCTTCGTTCAGGCTATCGTAACTGGAAAGGGTCCATTGGAGAACCTTGCCGACCACCTTGCAGACCCAGTTAACAATAATGCTTGGGCCTATGCTACAAACTTTGTCCCCGGAAAGTGAGTTAACAAAAGTTGATCTCTAATCTTCATGTAGTGTGAAACTGATATGTAGCTTGTGAGTGATGAACCCAAAGAAGGGTCAGAGTTTATTTTTAGCATTCTGGATTATGGGTTCATTAAAGAGATTGTTATGTGGTGTAAATTGGTTTGGATTATTAATGACGAACATGTGAACCTTTTCATATTTTTTCTTGCACTTCCAGTCTTTTTAACGCTAAGCACTTGTCTCCGGCTGTGGTAGAACTTAACTTATAACTAACTAGATGGGATTTATATTGCTTTCCCTTGAAAAACATAGAGATTTATA